CTTGGGATGATCGAGAATTGGTGCCTTTGAGCTGTGGTGCTGGAGAAGGGTATTGAATATACCATGGACTGCTAGGAGAACAAACAGGTTCATCCTGAAGAGGGTATAGCCAGGCTACTCCTTTGGAGGCAAGGATTCTGAAGCTTCGTCTGACATACTTTGGGCATGTTGCCAGGAGTGACCGGTCCTTGGAAAGGGGCATCATGCCTGGAAAGGTAGAGATACAGCACAAGAGAGGAAGACACTCGATGAGATTGTTTCAGTGACTAGGGTAATGAGGGTAGATGTGTCAGAGAAAATAAGATAGAGCAGATTTCAGAGCTATTTATTGTACATAGGGTTGCTATGAGTCACAGGCAACTCGATGACACATAACAACAACAGTAACAAACTGTTACGGAACTGATCCTTGAAAGATATGGAGTAAGAAAGTATGAACAGCAAAAGCTTGGCTTATGTGTGCCCACATGCACATTATTCTAAAAGTGTCTTTGAATAGTTGTGCTCTGGACACATTAAATATGAGCTGCAGTGTAATGCGGAAATGTGTAGGGAACTATATGCCATTTGAATACCTTACAAAGATGGATGCAAACACTGCTAATGGGAAAGTGGGTTGATTACCAATGGCAATAGATAAAAATTAGAGCTTTGGAGACCATTTCATATGAACACAAATGTTTGCTGTGTAGCCTTGGCTTAGAGTATGTAGGAAGTGGGGTCAGAAATGCTCCTCCCAAGTCAGGTCTGGAGGAGACTCATCACTGAGCTGTGCCGAAGCTTGGGAGTGTTCCAGCTGGCCCCCACATCACCCCACCACCTCTCAAAAAGTAATACATTTGTAGATGTTGGATTGAATTTCCTATCCTGAAAAGACCTGATGCTCAAGTAGGTTAGGAACACTGTAATTTAATGGCTCACCACCTCCGAAGTACTGAATGACAGAGAACTCTCTGAAGGTATAAATTATTTCCACATTATTTGGAGTTTCCCATCCAGATGTATTTTTTTTTTCTCTCCTGTGCTTCCTTCCCACCAGCTGTTCTTTTACCCCCTCTAGGCATTTCAAAGCAAAGGGTGGCAGGAGGAAAAAAAAAAGGAGAAAGAATGTTCTTCTTAACACCTCCCCTTTTCCTCACTCCCTTCTCATACATATACAGTATAAAAATAGAACTGGTTATTTTTTCTTGGGCTGCTTTGGTCTCCTTTATTACTATTATTATTGTGTCAAAGCCATTTTCAGAAGTTCTTTGGTACTGAGTTCTTGTACTGAGCAGCCCTTTTCATGATGTTGGAGTGGGAGGGGTATTTCTGGAGCAAATAGATGCAGAGGAGAACTTCAAGTAGCCTGACAGACTTTGGGGTAGAAATGGGAATTTTTGTTGTTTGTCTTTTCCCCCTGATCAGGGAGGAAAAGTGGAGATGTGACACTGATGTGGAATCCATATAGTGGGGACAGGCCCTTATAAGGTTTTCACCCTGTTTTGATCCATATGTTCAATCTTGCAGAACTTCAGGGCAAGAAGAAAGCCACAAAAGGGGGAGGGCAGAGCCTAAAATTTGTTTAATAGGGCAGAAAAGGGTACACAAAGCAGTTCTAACAGGCTGAATCCCTCTGGTCCACTATATGGATCTGAATCTTGGTTGTGATTCTTGACCCCGAGAGGGAGGACCATCATTCTCCTCTGTGAGTGATAGCCTGAAGCAATGCAGAAAAAGAAGGGAGAGAATGAAGAACACCTTTTGCTTGTGGGCCTAATCTTCAACTCTGTCTAATATATTTCACTTCTTCTACAGATGGATCTCTCTGTAGAAACCCTCTTTAGCTTCATGCAGGAGCGTCAGAAAAGGTATGCCAAATATGCGGAGCAGATCCAGAAAGTCAATGAGATGTCTGCCATCCTCCGCCGCATACAGATGGGCATTGACCAGACTGCGCCCCTGATGGAGAGGCTCAACAGCATGCTGCCTGAGAGCGAGAGGCTGGAGCCCTTCAGCATGAAACCAGACCGAGAGCTCAAACTGTAGAGCTGCTCTTTCCGTTCTGCCAGTCTGTGGTTCTGTGGGGCAGAGCCTGGCTCCATCACCACTATCCTGAGGCCGGCTGACACCAAAGTCGTGTGATGATGACCAGGGTTTGAAGCTGGTTGGAGATTTTCGTACTCTCTGAAGCAGTTGTGAAGCAGGCCACTCACCCAAAAGTTAGACTTTGTGCCCCTGTCATTTCCTTGATGCATTCATTTTCCTTATGTAAAATGAACTAAACTAATTCTCAGTGGAAGTTGGAACATTTGAGTTATTAGGAATTCTTTACAGAACTCCACATTGAAATTATTTTTGTTTGTTGGGTTATTAATAAATTGAGAGTGTATAATATAACTGAGGAGAAACAAAGATCCCTTTGGAGAATTCAAGAAGCTTTATGTAGCCTCGATGCCTTCATAAAATTTTACGGTTGTCTCTCCAGACTGACAAACATAAAGATCTAGTTTAACCTGAGTGTGTGTGGTTGTTACTGCCCCTGCCCTGACCAGGGACAGAGTCTTTTGCCCTGAGTGTAACACTGGTGTATCCATTGTGTGCCAGGTTATGGTACAGAGTATGTTTTCTTCAGAAGACTTCAGTTCCTTTTTGCCCCTTCATCTGGTTCATGTCCCCTGGTCCCTGGTTTCTTTGATGTAGACATAGACATCAGCACTGGTGGGACTCCACATTCTGTAGTGAGGTTTTAACCAGCATTTATTTTCACTACTCTAGGAACTGCTTGAACTTTGACAGCTGATCATTGAGATTCACACAGTAGACATTTCCTGAATCCACTCAATGTCCCAGGAATATAAACATAATTTTGCGAATATAAACATGGTCCATATATACCTGCCTTTCTTTTTGAAGAGAACACCGCTAACTTTATGTGAGAGTTTAGGCAGTAACTGCAGAAGTGCTTAGAGCAGTACATACCATATCACTGGTGTCCTAAAAGAAGAAAGGACTAGATTCACACACAGACACAAAGATCTAAATTCTCAAAGCCCCACTACTATCAAGTTGACACAAAATCATAGTGGCCTTATAGCACAGACTGGAACAACCCCATAGAATTTCCAAGGTTGGTGTCTTTACAGAAGCAGATTACCACCTCTTTCTCCCATGGAGCCACTGATGGGTTTGAGCAGCCAACTCTTTGGTTAGCAGCTGAGTGTGTTTAACCACTACAGCATCAGGACTCTCTGGAGTCAGATCTAGGCAGGTGACTTGAGACTGACAGCTGGGGGAAAGAGAAGTTGCTCAGGCCAAGACAGCATGCAAGCCTCTACTTTGCTATATTTATTTTTCCAAAACTCAGAAAATCTTTTTTATGTGTCAAAAGCAGTGTTCAGTATGTCCTTAAGATTAAAATTGATGCCATGTAATTTAGTGTATCTCAACTATGTTGTATCCAATCTTGGATTTTAATCAGATACTATCTTAGAGGATTCTTAGAACTCAGAATTAAGTATGATATGACATAGGTAGGTTGTTGTTGTTGTTGTTGTTGTTTATTGCCATCAGGTCAAGTACGAATCTTAGCAACCCTATGAACAAAAGGCCTGAAGCCTTTCTATAACTATCATCATTTATCAAAGTTCATAGAGTTTCCAGAGGCATGTTGTTTAAGCATCTTTTCTCTTTTGGCTTTTCAATGTTCCAGTGAAATTTTCAGGGTCTCTTCTGACATCTGTTTTGGTTTTTTTCTTTCTCCTTTTCCTTTTGCTCTCTTCATGGATGATGTCTGCTCACAAATCATCTGGTCTTTTGATCAATAGTGTCCAGTGCTTCAAACCTTTGAAATTCAGTTGGAATAGACTCAAGATCTTCTATTAAGAGGCCACTTCTGAAAAACCAAAGAACACATAAAATATTACACAACATGGGTTACCATGGAGGACATTATGCTGAGTGAAGTATCTCAGTCACAAAAGGACAAATACTACATAACACCACTTTTATAAAATAGGACTGACATGGGGATTGGGGGGAAACTAAGAAAAGAGGGTATAAACAATAAACACTGCATTGGAACAGAAGAAGGAAATAATTGTTTAAAATGAATATATGTTTGGGCATTATTTCTGTGACAACAGTCCAGAATAAGAGGTGCACAGCAAAGTGGACTGGGGGGAAGAGAAAATTATTAAATAATGAATGAATTTTTTTTAAGCGAACTGAGGGGGTAGGGAGGAAAATGTACAACAATGGATGAAAGAAAACCCAACTTTTCTGTAAACTTTAGCAAGTTTAAAAAATAATCTGGGTTCCCCCCCACAAAAAAAAAATCTATGCTACAATCCCAAAGGTACATGGTTCAAATCCACCAACTACTCTACAGAAGAAAGATGAGCAGTCTCCTTTCATGTGATTTACTGCCTCTGAAAACCTACTGGAGGTTCAGCTATGGGTTGGTTCCAACTTGATAGCACACAACAACATGTATGTTTTATTTTCTTAGCTCTTCTTCTTTTCAGACAAGAAATGACCAGTAGTTGCACCTAAAATGGCCACTCACAAACTTGTAAGAACCCAGTTGCTACTCACCAAAGTAAGATGTAGAACATTGTTTTTGTCAACTGTGTTAAGTCAGTTGACTTTGACATCCCTGAGGAGTATGACTCTGAAACCCTTGGCATAACATCTCATCCCCTGAGTGTATTTAGTTATGACTAATAAGTTTATATTATATGTCAGCCTGTTGGCTTTACTATATACTTGAATATATATAGCATATGGTACTATATATGTAGAAATAAATGTTGTTGTTGTTGTTGTTGTTGTTGTTGTTAAATGCTGTGGAGTCATAGGCAACTCATAGTGACCCTATGAAATTTTTTTATTTCTCCAAGTTCATAGGGTTTCCAGAGGCAAGCTATTTTGGAAGTGGATGCCACTCCTGCTTCCAAGCTTGTTTTAATCGAGGAGCTCCGCCAAACATTGTCTACCGTGGGTGATCCATATTGTATTGGGCACATCAGGGTCACAGTGTTCAGCATTACAGCCACCATGAGTTACCTCTATACAGCAAATCAACAGAGCAGTGCTATACCATCTTGAAGAATGTTTGACCAAAAACAATTAAAAACAGGCCTGAGGGCCATCAATTAAAGTCACCTACCTTTGGCTTGGGAGCATTACTTTCTGTCCACTAGACCAAATGATCTCTCTCTATGCTGTTGTTGTGATTGTTAAGTACTGTCGATTTATAAGCAACTCATAGCTACCCTATGAACAAAAGACCTGGACACTTGTGTATCTTTCATCCTTTCTCCAGCTTCATAATGTTTCTGGAGGCAAGCTGTTTCAGACGTGGGTATGACTCCTGGCTCTTGTTTCACTATTTTTACTTAACAGGTGGAAGATTCAAGTTTAAGGAGTACACAGGCAATATTGAGTACATAGGCAATATTTTCTAGGCAACTACATTTGAGGGGTGGCCTTGCTATGCACCTGAAAGTTGGACAATGAATAAGAATGACAGAAGAAGACATCTTTGAGTTGTGCTTTTGCACAAGAATCTGAATACTCCTGGGACTGTAAAAAGACAAGCATGTCTTGGGAAAGGTACAGCCCACAGAATGCTCCTGGGAGGCAAAGCTAGTGAAACTTTATCTAATATACTTTGAGCATATTGTTAGGAGGAGCTACTACTTGGAAATGGATATCATGCATGGAAAGATGGAGGGTCAGTGAAGGACGGGAAGGCCCTCAATGACATGGATTGACACAATGACTTCAATGGTGGTTTCAAGTATGTCAGAAATGATGAGGATGGCATAGGATAGGGCAGTATTCAGATATATACTTAAAGAAAAATCAGAAATGAGATGTAAAGAACACATTCAAATTATATGGGATGACATCAAACAGAATAACGTAAGTATGACTGGAACTCCAGAACACGAGAGTGATAGGGAAATCACTGAGAAGATTGTGGAAGGAGTACAAGAAGAAAACTTCCCAGGTATTTTGAAGAATGGGGAAATCTACATTTAAGAAGCACAGAGAACACCAAATAGACTAGACCCAAAAAGGAAAACATCAAGACATATCATAATTAAATTCTCCAAATTAACTGATAAGGATAGAATTCTAAAAGCAGCACGAGAAAAATAAAGAGTTACCTATAAAAGGGGAAACAATTACATTAAGTTCTGATTTCTCAGGAGAAACCATGCAAGCTAGAAGGCAATGGGATGCCATATACAGAAAGTTGAAAGATAACAATTGCCAGCCAAGGACCCTCTATCCAGCAAAGCTCTCTATCAAATATGAGGGGGAAATTACATTCTTTGCAGAAAAGAAGGACCTTAAGGAATTTGTGAAAACAAGACCAAAATGACAAGAAATTTAGGTGAAGTCCTACACATAGAGATGCCAAAGGAAAGGGAATGTACCATGGTAACCCAGAAACAACAGAAAAAGAAGCATGGGAAAATGGCAAAAATAAAAGTTGGCCTGACAATAATCACATGTGATGTGAATGGACTAAATGCACCAATTAAGAGAAAAAGAGTAGCAGAATGGATAAAAACCCATCAATGCATTGCCTACAAGAGACACATCTAAAAAAAAGGAAGAAAAAGACTCAAAGGCTGGAAAAAAAAAATATGTTAAGCAAATGGCAACCTCAAAAAAGGAAGAGTGGTTATACCAATCTCTGATAAAATAGATTTCAGAATGAAAACCACCACTGAAGATAAGGAAGTGCATTACATACTGATTAAAGGCACAACAGATCAAGAAGACATAACCTTGGTCAACATTTATGCACCAAATGATAGACCTGCAAAGTACATAAAACAGCAGTTAATCAAATTGAAGAGAGAAATAGCACCACAATAATGGTAGGAGATTTCAACACACCATTATCACCAAAGGATAAGTCAACTCAAAAGAAACTCAACAACGATACAGAAGGTCTATCTATACATAAAATCTGCCAACTCGAACTTGTGGATATATACAGAGTACTGCACCAAAATAAAACTCAATTC